ATGGTCCTGACAATCTTTCTCCTATCCAGCTCATTGCCACCGTCCCCACCAGCCACCTGAAGTGTTTGAAGGAAGCGGGTCACGGGCCAGGCAAAGATGAAATGACAGACGAGGACATGGCCGAGGACGAAGAAGAAATTGATCACGCAGAGAGAGAGCTCCGCAGGGGTCAGATCCTATGGTTCCGCGGGCTGAACCGCATCCAGACACAGGTGTGACTTTCAAACATTTGTTGGCGACGGGTAATGACTCCGCGTGGACAGAGATCTCAGGGGGATCTGTACTGCATGCCTTCGCTATAGTCGGGTTCGGAATGACTGAGCTATAAACCCCGGTGCATGCATTAATAATCCAAATGTTTCATTTTGATAACTTGTCTCTTTTATCCAGGTCGGCCAGCGAATGCGGCAAGACGCCCGATTAGATAACAGAGAAACCATCTCCTCTTCCCTTCTGTATTGTTTAAAGGGAATCTGTCATGGGTTAAATATGTTACTTGTATGTAGCTGCATATTACAGAATGATTGAGCTAGGCTGCTAAAGATAATGGCGGCACCTTTTTAATAGGGCTGCGGAAATTAACGATTCATTTCTCGACATCGACGTCATCGGACTCCTCCCCCCTTCCCCAAGTGGCTCCGTTGGCTAACGAAGGGAAGGGGGGAGGAGTCCGGTGATGTTGATGTCCCCAAGTGGCTCCGTCGGCTAACAAAGGGAAGGGGGAGGAGTCCGGTGACGTCCATGTCCCCAAGTGGCTCTGTCGGCTAAAGAAGGGGGGGGGAGGAGTCCGGTGACGTCGATGTCCCCAAGTGGCTCCATCGGCTAACGAAGGGAAGGGGGGAGGAGTCCGGTGACGTCGATGTCCCCAAGTGGCTCCGTCGGCTAACGAAGGGAAGGGGGGAGGAGTCCGGTGACGTCGATGTCCCCAAGTGGCTCCGTGTCATTGCTGTGCTGTATGTGTATAGGTCATTGCTGTGCTGTATGTGTATAGGTCATTGCTGTGCTGTATGTGTATAGGTCATTGCTGTGCTGTATGTGTATAGGCCAATGTAGTTGGATCTGTATGTGCGTTATAATTAATCGATTTTAAAAAATTTCGATTAATCGAACACGAAAATTTTAATTAGTAACAGCCCTAATTTTTTATGGTAAAAATGGTTTAAAGAACACCTGAATATTCTGTTGGCAGCCCGAGTTGAATGGCCTTTGTGCCAGTATTATAAAGCACATAGAGGTACTGTATATAAATGGAGCCCCTGAGACCATCTAGAGGCATACTTATGTTCCGGCTCTGCTTCAGCGATCTTCTCTATGCGGCCCCGCCTGGTGCTTTACATACAGCCTTTCCTCTGAAAACATCTCCGCTGGGTCCTCTTAGCGAACATGCGTGCCTTCCCCCGATATATATTCCTACGGGAGAGCCATACTCGTGGTGGTCTCCATCCGCCCAGCCGAATACGACTGTCCCATCGGAATGATTAGGGCAGTGGTGCAGAGAAAAGCCAGTATTATGCCGGAACGGGTCACATGGTAAAGATCGTTGGAATAGAGAGGAAGGTAAGTACCGTATGTAACCACTAGGGACGCACCGATACCAAGTGCAGCCCTCGCTACAAGTACAAGTACAGATGCCTTTCCAGCTCCAAGACCAGACTAGAGAAAAGTTCAGAAGTTAGGAGGCGGCTGTCAAGTGTAAGGAGCACACGGAGCTCCCGGGATTTGTACAATTCTCTGTTATAATGTATGATTGTGTTTTTATAAATATATATTCGGGATGCACCGATACCAGTTTTGCGAGTACGAGTGCTGATACATTTCTGTTTGGTGTCATGTGACAGTTTTTCTAAAACAATACAGACTAATGATATCAGGACAGTGATGGAGCACCAGAGCCCGGTCCCGGGTGCAACCGCTGCAACCCTGGTAGTTCTCGTGAAAATGCCAAGTATCGGCACTGGTATCGGCACTGGTATCGGTGCATCCCTAGTAACCACCTGAGCTGCACTCAGAGGGGTGAGGGGGGTTCATTATAGGACAACTAAATCTACCCTTTAAATACCTTTCATGGGGTAGATGTTCAAACTGGAGAGGGTGTTCAATGAAGTGATATTTGGCACCACAAAGCTAACAATCTAGTCAATATTCCAAATCAAGACTACCGCTACCGGTTACTTTAAGGCTGGGTTCACACCTAGGCCTATCGAATATGTGCGTTTGTCGCGATTCACGGTAAAAAAACGCGCGACAAACGCGCGTTTCCGAGAGCTACTTGACTGTATCCCAATGGAAACGCGCGACAAAAACGCCCCAAAGAAGCTCCTGTACTTCTTTGGGCGTAGGGCGTTTTGTAGCGCGTTCATACGGCCTGTAATACGCCCGGGTGTGAACCATACCCATAGGAAACAATGGGATTTCGGTGTTTGAGCGTTTTGCAGAGCGTAGGAACGCGCTACAAAACGCCCAGGTGTGAACCGGGCCTTAGGCCTTCAACAAACAACCGTGTTACATTAGTCCCAGATATCTGTTTCTGAACAGTTGTGTTTTACCTGTCGGGACATACTCGTGGTAGTTATAAGAAGGTCTTTCGCATAAAGTAACTTTTTGTTTCTGATCTTTAAACTCCCAATTTTATTGGACGAGACACAAAGTTCAACAGAACTCCAAATCCCCTTTAGGCAATTGTCACCAGAACTGGTGTCGCTATTGGAAGAGGTCCACCTGTTGTTCTGGTGCCAACTAAAGTTTTAGATCTCCCATCACTTCCTGTCTCAATGACCATAGTTACTAGGACTAAATAGAGAGAGTGTGAATCTACCCGGCCAGGACATAGACATCACAATGTAGGCAAAGGGAAAGGTTTCAAGGCTTGTTTGTAGGGTAGTTGGCCTAACAACCCAAGCAAGCCTTGATACGGTTTATCATTTCCCAGGGGAACATCTGCTTTGGTCCAGTTTATAAAAACCCTTCTATCATTCTAAACCCTGAAGAAGGGGGACCGATTGTCCCCCAAAAACGCTTTGGCCAACAAAGGCATTCTTGACTTCATGTCTTAGTTTGTGGTGTTCTCTTTCCGCTGTACCTACCGCTGATGCTCTGAGGACTTTTCAGGATCCCTTAGATCAGGGGTGTCAAACTCAATTTAATCGTGGGCCGCATCAACATTATGGTTGCCCTCAAAGGGCCTGTAAGACGATATAAATATATTTAATCTTTATCATCATTGCCTCTGCATTCCATTATCACGGGTTGTAGTAATAACTTAACACTTAGATCTGAAAGTAGAAGTCTAGGAAATGGCCTGGTGGGCCGGATTCGGCCCCTGGGCCTTGAGTTTGACACATGTGCCTTAGATCCTTAAGAGCTGCCTTCGTTAACTAAGAACACCCTCCCATGTCAAGGTCACTCCACCAGTATTACTGCATAAAAATATGACAGGGGTTCCCTTCTATATCCTAAACTAAAAAAGATGGTTTGGGCTTTACATACACTTCACATGCAACTAGTGTAAGTACTCATATTGGTTTTGATATCAGCCTCTTAAAAAGCAGCCAATTAGGTTCTCCTGTAGTGGACATGTGTGAGTAAAGGGATCACATGGTCAGTATGTTGTCAGTTCAACAAGCTGGGGAAGGGGGTGTCCTTATATGGCGCCAACAGTTTTGCATTATAAGGGAGACATTACAATCACAATATAATTCAAGACAAGATGGTAAGGAGGGCCCCGCCCCTGAGGGCTTACTATCTAAAAGGGAGGGGCCAGTGATACATGAGGAGGTCCTGCAGAGACCCGATGAGCGAGGTGTAAGCAGAACAGGACCAGCAATACAATAATAATGAAAGGAACCCCTCACAGTATGGTGTCAACCAGGGTCAGCAGCCAGTAATTAGAATTGCGCAGTACCAAAGGAAATTGGAACTCAGCGTCAGAATCCGGGCCGGGTCAGCAACAAACCGAAGGCAACAGGTCCGAAGGGTAGTCCGGAAGAAGCAGAGTCAAAGTCCAAGCCGGGGTCAGCAACAAACAGAAGCACGATTGGCAGATTAGGTCATTTCCTGCAGCTGACCAGTAGGTGGGGGTCAGAGCCCCATACAGTGTAGGTCAGGGATGGCCAAACTCCGGCCCTCCAGCTGTGGGTGAAACAAGAAATCCCATGAAGCATCTCCCTCCGGGAGTCAGGTCTGTGGCTGTGAGAATCTTGCAAAGCCTCATGGGATTCGTAGTTCCACCACGGCTGGAGGGCCGCAGTTTGGCCATCCCTGACCTACACTGTATGGGGCTCTGACCCCACCTACTGGTCAGCTGCAGGAATTTACCTAATCTGCCCCCTATAAATACTGTCCTCCCCGCCCCCTTCCTGTCTTTGCCCTAGTATAGGATCTCCCGTGTGCGTCCTGGCCATCCCTGATGTAGGTGGACTGGACAAGGTCATCATAAAATCAAACCCTCTCCAGTGGCCCCACAAGCAAGGGAACCACCAAAGGTTCCCAGGATTGTTTCCAGGCAAGGGCGTGACAAACCTTTCCCTTTGCTGGTTCTTCTTTTGACACTCCAGTATGAGGAAGCCCACGACCGCAATATAGCCTGAAACCGCGTAGGATAGATAATAACGATGTAGGAAAATGGGGAGACGCACGTAAGATGCGCAGAGGCAAGTATGCAAAGGATGCGCATTGACAAATTGTTCTTACGTAATTGTCCATTGACTTAGACTCTGCTGGCCCTCTGCCGCCAGACACGCATTGCTTCCCATGTACGCATCCAAATTTTGGGGGAAAAAACAAATTTCAGGCTTTTATCATTGTGGCGGTTGTCCATATCTTCAGGTAAAAAAAAAACTGCTCCTCCGGAAACTAAGTTGCCAAATTGTTAAATACAAAAAAAAGGAACCTCCACGATAACATACAGAAAAGGTGATCAAGATCTTGGTTGGTCGCACCACTCTTTGGATCCATTAGCTTCTCTCGCAGCGCCCTCCCTCTGCTAGGTCCCCCTGCACTCCTTTACAGCGCTTCCGGTCCAAGTAGCAATAGTGGTGCTCGCAGTGGCAGGCCTTATGGGAATATTTTTGCACTCCGGCCCCTAAGGCCTGTCAGCGTGGTGCACTGGCACTTTAGATTTATTTATTGCACTATATGCACGATTTTTTGGGGGGATTGAAATTGACAGATGCGGAGGGTGCGGGTACCTTCGGGGCCCTTCCTGATGTAGGGAGGAGATTCTGTGAGCCTTATGGGACCCTATGTCTTCTCCCACCTGTGGGGGGGGGTGTCTCTCTTCGGGAGAGCCCCCTCAACCTAGTGCTTGTGGGACCTGTTTCGGCAGGTGCCCAAAGGATCGGGGTCCGCCGGCCTTCGGGTAGGTGGACCAAAGCATTCCTAGCCCCGGTCGGGAGACTTGCGCCCCGGGGGGGTCGGGAAATTGTGGCCCTTTCTTTTCGGAGAAGGAGCCAGCACCCTCGTGCACTTTTTTCAGTGCACGAGGGTGATTCCTTTTTGGGCGCGCTCCACGGGCTTTAAAAAAAAATAGTGGTGCTCGCAGTGACAATGACCGATTGGCGCCGTGCACAACAGTCAATGAAGGATAGAAATCACCAGCACCAGTGACCACATCTCTGCCCTGATGAAGGGACCCTGCGTGGTCCCCTGAAACTTTGGAACGGATCATGCGATACGTGTGACGTTTAGTCCAGGGGCGTAACTAGAAATCCCAGGGCCCCATAGCGAAATGTTGTAAGGACACAGAGTCCTCAATGTCTTTTTCTGCAGCCTCAGCACTCAATGAGTGGGAAGCACTCAGTACAGAGGCTCCTCCCCATTCCATTCACAAACTGATGACAGTAAAATATTTACCATCAAGCAGATTCTCAGTGGGGAGGAGCCTCTGTACTGAGTGCTTCTCCCCATTGAGAAATTCATGAATGAACAGGAAGTGATGTAAAGCACATCCTGTTCATTCATAACTGGGGGACACATAGTACTACGTGTCCCCAGTTATTTACAAACACCGGAGCGATCAGACGATAGCTCCAGTGTTTTGTGCTGCACACGGAGGATCGGTAAATATCGATGATACATACCGATCCTCCGCTCGGCCACGCACACATCCGCTGCCGTCCTGAAACTGGCAGGAGGACAGCGGCTCCGCTCTCCTCCCCCGATGATCGAGCGGCAGGCGGGGAGGAGAGCGAAGCCGCTGTCCACCTGTCAGTTTCAGGATGGCAGCGGCTCCTCCCATCCCCCCTGT